CAAGTTGCGACAACGAGGTCAACTCACTTCTAATATATGTCAAGTTTTTCCATATTAATCAGGCTTTTAATTGTGTAAATAAACCTCAAATCTGTATTTGGTCGAATATCAGTTCTTCTTGCTAACTAAGCTATAGCATTGTTTGACCTTGTTTTTGAAACTTGGTCATATTGGTAGGAAGACTTAGAGGAACACACCTTGTCCGCAGTCCATTGTCTGCATGATCTTTTCCAAAGTCGGATTGTGGACGTGGTACATTCCTATTTAGACCTAAATATTTATTTCGACTCTTGTTATGTTAATTTTCCTTATATTTTTTCATTCAGTTACTCTTAAATTACGAGATTATCTCTTAACTATGTCTCGAGTTCTGCACCATTCCAATAGAAAAATCTTTCATCCTATTCGAGTGTACAGCAGTATAAATGTTTTTATGATTATTCATTTGATTAATTTGCTCTTTACTATTTTACATATATAAATTCTTAAATATTCCTTGTTCTCAGTTTGTAAAAACTTTTACAACAATTGTGGGCTTGACTTGATTTTTTTCCAGTTATGACTAGCTCGTTTGCTGTGCTTGAGTGTAATTCGATTTTTGATCGACTTATTCTTTTTTTTACTGCTTGTTTCATTTCCTTTTTGATGTTACTTTATTGTTCTACACCTGCCTACTACCGCTTTTTCGTGCTCCCTTTATCTCTTCTTTTCCCTCATTTCTGGCATATCTCTTATTTATTTATTTCTACCTCCTTGATTGGTCAGCAAAGACTTCCTTTGTCTTCTCTGTTCAATTATTCTTTGATTTTAGGGTTTTGAAACTAAAAGTTGATACATTTTTTTGGCCGTGACGACATAGCTGAAATGACATTTGCTTAGGGCACTATCATTTCGCTGTATACATATTGTTGACCTTTGTTTTCCTTAGTCCTACTATTGGCTTGATGGACGAATCAAAGTATATAGTGATGATATAGTGACTATACGTATTTATAAGAAATACCAAAACAAGTTTTGTTTGGCCTCTCGTTAGCTCTCGTTTTTCAGATAGACTATGAATAAGGCAGCCGTACTGCCGCCTCTGCCATTAATGTAATTTGTAATTATAGCATCTGCCAGGGTACACTCACGGGCGTTTTGCTGACATGGTAGTAGGCCTCTACCATTAGCATTGAGCCACAATTTGTCAAAATGGCAATAAGCCAGTTTTCTGCTGAATTTTGTCACTTCTTTTTATTCTTTGTCCTTGTTTTGTATAGTTATCGAGAAGGTTGACCTTATTTCTCATCCGACTGTGGTCACTTAGGGCTAAAAATGGCACCGCTCTCTGACGACGCCAGCGAAATGTTTGGAAAGGTGCCCATTTCATTGTCATTTCTAGCGGACCACTTATCACCTGTGGTCGATGGCAATATTTGGTGTCTTCTTAAAATTTTGTCTTAAAAGACAACACAATGCCAAGGAGTTATAATTATGTTTATATTTGTATTCCTTATCTGCTAATCTAGCCACTAGCCCATCGCTTTATTCTTTGTTTCATCTAACAGGCCAATATATCGACTAACAGATATTGTAATCTTACATCGTGAACCACTACATCTCATCTTTATTTTTAAACCCCTCTAGGATTCTTTCTTCCCTGATGGTCGTGTTAGACCACTAACTGTTGAAGCTTCTGACAATGCTTGGTCTTTGCACAGCACGCGATCTTACAGGCGTCGTTTCTTCGCTTCACTCCATCAGCGTATGCGCCGCCAGACTATCTCCGATCCAGAGTTGATCTGTCTCTCCACAGCCGGGACAGGCCTTCTTGGTTTTGACTGTAGTGTGAGTCATTTGTTAGTGCTCTTCTTTTATCCTCTTTATATAATAAAGTACTAATAGTTACCTCTAAGCTAAGAAGAACAACTACGATTCGAAAGATTCCTAAATAGATTCTGGCTGACATACTTTTCATTTCGTTTAAAATGATTGGTGGAGGGGATTTTTAAATTAGCCGCAATGGATACCGAGGGAGAATTAATTTGCTTTAGTCTGTCATATAATGGACATCATCCGAGCCAGGAACTATCATTGATGGACAATCAACAAGAAACATCAAATTAAGAAAGGCGGCCGGCTGCAATCCTACTTTTTATACCTAAATTTGCAACCTATGATTTAGTTGGTTACTTCATGCTCAACCTACAAGCATCCAAAGTGAGTTTGATTAATGAAAGTGGAGCGAATGTGGTTTTACCTTTTCCTTACGTTAATAAACTAGCGTATGATCATGCAAAAATGATGTATATTTTATGTTCGTGGATGCGTATACATTGTGTGCATGCAATATTCATGAATCAGATTGCGATTTTGAGCCCACTAGATTCCAGGCTAGTCGTTCCCTTTTCTCTCACTTGGTGGTCTTTCCTGTTCTCTTTCTCTGTCTTTTTCTAATTCTATCCAATATCCAGAGCTAGTTGTTGTATGCTATTATACATTTTTTCCTCTTTTTTAAGATATTATTTGTTTTGCTAATTTAGATAAATTTCCTAATTTTCCATAGATATGAGGACCAAGATGCTGTGGCATTTGTTTGGTCGCAGTCCTAACTTTCCGTTTAGCTAATAAGCCTCCATATATGTCAAAATGTTGGCTTATAGACTATTGTATCTAGTGTCCTATAATGGAAATATGTTGGGCCATCTTAAATTTATTAACCCATAAACCTCTTAAAATAGGTTTTATTTGAATTACCTCTAATATTTTGATCGACAGGTCTTTCACAGTAAGCCAATACCATCTGGGCCCAAAAACTTATAAAAACATGATCTGCTGAAAGCTTCGGAATGGGATGCTTTACTAAGTTAGGCATACAAAGTCGGATTTCAACCGTCCACCTTACCTGATTTAGTGATTTTTGGTTATTGTTCATAAATGATGGTTTCTGTCCCTGAAGATGTCCACCACATGACAAACGAAAGGTCATCACGGATTCATCGGGCTCGCAGCACGACAAGCCGAGGTCTATTTCGGACAGTCAATAATCCCAAGTCCCAGGCAATCCCCCTTCGGTATCTGGTAAGACAAATCTACGAATCCCCTTCACCTGCTCTTTCATACCAAATGATAGTTATGCCAGCATCA